ATCTAAATATTGATACAGAAACTCTAAATCTGCTGGAAGAAAAAGTAGGAAGAAAGCTTGAAGACATAGGGGTAGGCAGAGAGTTGATAAAGAAAAACCAAATTTCATAGGAAATAGTTCAAACAATCAACAACTAGGATCTCATCTTATTTAAAAGTTTTTCCACATCAGAAGAAATCACCAACAGTAAATAAAAAACCCACAATTTGAGAAAAAATTGTAGTCAACTGTCCCTCAGTCAAAGGACTTCTATCTAGAACATATAAAGAATTTTTAAAAATCAGGCCTCCAAAATTAAAAGACTGAGTCAAAAAATGGGCATCTGAGATGAATACTCCTCAGATGAAGAAATACTAATGGCTAGTAAATACATGAAAAAATGTTCAACATCATTGATTATTCAAGAAATGCAAATTAAAAACAACACTGAGATTCCATCTCACTCCACAGAGAATGGCTATCCTTATGAAATCAACCAATAACAAATGCTAAAGAGGCTATGGGGGAAAAGGAATGCTTCTCCACTATTGGTGGAGTGTAGACTGGTACAACCACTGGGGAAATCAATGCAGAAATTGCTCACAAAACTAGGATTAGAGGTTCCTTTCAACCCAGCTATTCCCCTTCTGGGCATTTTCCTAGAAGAATTAAAAACATCATACCACAGTGATGAATGTGCATCCATGTTTATAGCAGCACAGTTTGTTATAGCTAAATCTTGGAAACAACCCAAATGCCCATCAACTGAGGAATGGCTAAAAAAGATGTGGTATTTTTATATAATAGAGTATTACTCAGCTATAAAAAAGATAAACTCAAGGCTTTTATAGGTAAATGGATGCAACTAGAGACCCTACTTATAAGTGAAATAAATCAGACCCACATGTGTAAACATCATATTGTCTCCCTAGTGTAAGATCCTGAAAAAGTAAATAAAACCAAAACTATACAATAGATCTTATGAAAGGAATAGAAATTGCTCAAAGGAAGGAACAACTGGGATGAGGGAAAGGAGAAAAAGAAAGAAGGGAAATATGTATATGTATATATGGATAGCTGTATCACTGTACTGCTGGTGTCTAATGGTTTGTTGAGAGGAACAGTTAATGCTTAATTTTTGCTTTGGCCATTTTGAATGGTTATATCTGGTAATGTGAACAACTAATTTGGAGATAAGAATATGCAATATAACAACCATTGGTGAATTCCTACCATCATGTCTAGTGAAAGTCTGTATCATTTCTAATGGATTTTTAAAATTATGTTTTATTCTCTTTAATGGTTTGATCAATCTTGCATTCGCACATCTGGTAATCTGAGCAACTCATTGAAGATAACAATATGTAATATAACAACCACTGTTAATCCCTATCATTTTGTTTTGAAACCCTGTATCATTTGTATTCTTTTTGCTTTGTTTTGTTTTTGTCTATGTTGTTGTTATTTTGCTGTTGTTCTTTTTTAAAATTCTCTTTAAAATAAAATTTAAAAAGAAAAAAATAAAAAGATAAACTGGAGATCCTAGAACCTAAATCAAGGTGACTACTTAGAAGAGCTTGGGCTTCGGGGATCAAAGTCCTAAGAGACTATAGTGAGATACTCTGAAGGTCAAATAAGTTACCTACTTTTTCCAAAGTGAGGGAGCTAATCAGCGGTGCAACTGAGGTCCAATGCCTGTGTTTTAGATGCCAGTTCTCTAGTGAGCAGGAAGAAAAGCTAACATGTAACATGTATAGGACAAGGTTGAGTGGTGGTGTGCCTTATCCCTCAAGGGCTGTTACACACTAATGTGCACTTAGCCCTGCTCTAGTCCCGGGGTGAGATTGGGTAAACTGTGCATAAGAAGTGCAGGAGAGCTAAATAAAATGTAATTATGCTAAATAAAAATCATCAGTGTTCTCAGACATTTTACATCAACCTGAATTAGGGAAGCTTTCAAAGGTACTGTTGGTCTAAGGTGGTGGCGAACCTCTGGCATGTGTGCTGCATTGCACTGTTTGCATCGTGAAATCTCTAAAAGGTTCGCCATCACTGATCTAAGGTAAATTTATCTAACTAGCCTACCTGTGTCATGTCAATATCAATTAAATTATGGGCTAGTACTTATGGCTATTATCTATACTTGTTCTTCAAAAAAGAGCGAAGTGCAAAGATTTTAAAACTTGGAGAGTTTTAAAACTTAAAACTCCTAATACTATTTTGTCCAAGTATTTATCACATCTTGTTTCATTGCTTTGATTCCTTGTCCTTTTGAATTCTTCATACTTCTTGTCATATAAAGTAGCACGTCTTTTATAACTTCCTGTCCACTTGTCTTTAAAATACCCTGTTGGCTCTTCAAACTTTTCTACCTCTTATATGAGTCTTTCCTGAGCACTACTTGGCTTTTTAGTCATTCCCCAATGATGTGCAGAACACATCAAACTTGAGACACTAAGTGAAAAATGGCAAGGGTCACTGGTTTGTGCTTTGTCTTCACAGAGTGTAATATGGTACTTTGGTTTCCTGGCAGTCCAATCTGCTATGTGTGCTGTTTGCCAAAGGCAACACCTTCCCCACCCCAATCTGTTTTGTGCCTCCTGATGTCTTTATGTTGCTTCCCAGGGATCCTTGTTGAGTATTTGGACCAGAATATACCTCTTCACTCTAAATGGCTCTTTGCTGAGGGCTAAGTCTTAAGCACATTCCAAACTCATCCATTTATTTTAGGTCAGACTCGCAGACTGAGTGAAGCTCCACCAACATTTGCGTGTGACAGTTATAATTGCTTTCCTTATTGCAGATACACAGGGAGCTTTTAAGATGCCATCAAGTCTGTCTTTTTCAGAGGTGTAAAGTCCAGCCTACTATGCTCTTGCTTATCTGTGATAGCTGTGCTTCTGAGCAGTTCTCCAAGTACTTGACAATGAAGGTTCTGAGCACAGAAGTGACACTTGTCATCTCTTGGATCCAGCAGACACAGTACCAAAATTAAGATTAAAAATTAGAATGGAAAATATCAGTACTCATAGGTGTGTTTACAGGCCACCCTTCTGTGTGAAGATGTCACAGGAAAAAAAAAAAAAAAAGAAGATGTCACAGGAGCCGCTGAGAAGACACAGATGCTCTGATGACAACAATGTCATCTTCTCAAAAGTGAGAAGATGATCTCTTTCATCTTCTCAAAAGTGTCTGCTAGTTACCTAAAGCATGCCAGTCTCTCGCCTTGCTCATGTTTTGTGTGAGCTGAGACATCCTAGCTCCTTGCTGACCTTGAAAAGTGCTTTGCAGATGAGGTTTTATCAGCCAGGTTCCCACATGTGACTCTTCTGGTGCCCCCACTTCCAGTTGGATATTTTCTGTTTAGTCCCTCTCACATTGGAAAGATTCCCTTCTATCATCACTCCACATTTCCAGCTTCTTGGGTGTTGGCCCAGTTCAGAAGAGAGGCTGATAATCATTCACTTTTGCCAATAACCCACAGCCAACCTGTGTTAACTAGCAAGGGCAGACCTTCTGTGGTTCTCTGTAGCCTCCTCTGCCCAGGAAGCCACCGAAGCTAGCAGGAAGTACCCTGGGCTGTTGCCAGGAGACCTGAGCTCTGAACTTGCACTCATTTAGGAAAGAGCCCTCGTTGAACTCTAATTTGCCTCTACTCCAATAGTAGATATTGACCATCTGCTTTGTGCCAGGCACTGTACCTGGCATGAGGCCTTCAAAGCAAAGTGCTTACCCTCATGGTGGAAGGTTTGTGACTGAGAGGGGGAATGGTTGAGACCAGCCCTCACAAACAATTTACTTCCTAAATGTCTGTCATTCCTCTATGCTGGGCATCTACCTGTGTCAGGCTGCTCGTTGCATTATCTGTCTTCCTACTCTCTATTTTAAAAGAATAAATATACATGCATTTTTGACTGATACAGGCTATCTTCTTTCTGCCTTCCATTTAGTCTGATTCAAATCCCTCGTACCACAAATTGATAGCTATTTTACTCATTTTTCTGGGAAGCCATCAGGCTGATGGCTAATAGCATGCCCTTTGTGATACAGCTTTGTGAACAGAAGTGTTTGAATATGTGTCTGCTGACATAAGACGCTCAGAGCAAGAGAAGAAAAGATCCTTGTTCCTGAGGAAAGTAGTTTATTGAGTGGCACAGCATGGGCATGTTAGAGAAACTAAGGAGAAATTATGTAACTGAAAGTGTCTGTGCAAATCCTTGGGATGGGTGTAAGGGAGTGATGTCGGGGGCTGCACTCAGGGAGAACTTGCGAGAGTGATCTGCTGTCCACATCTCCCTTCCTGTGGGTGGTGAAGGGGGCATGAGCCATTTGTCAGCCCTGCCAATGAAGGAGGGCAGACTGTGTTCACACTGTTGTCTACATTTATCCCTGCAAATAGGAGAGGTGCTTCTAATCAGATTCAAGTCCGTGTAAGACAGAGTCTCTGAAAGTTAACAGATCTTTTCCATGGCCAGTGACTGACCAGAGACTTTTCCCTTCCAGAGATGAGAAGAACCAGTCCATCATAGTCAGCGGGGAGTCTGGAGCTGGGAAGACAGTGTCAGCCAAATATGCCATGCGCTATTTTGCCACAGTCGGTGGTTCAGCCAGTGAGACCAACATTGAAGAGAAGGTCCTGGCATCCAGTCCCATCATGGAGGTAAAGTCTTCCTGGCTAGAGTTCCTTCTACTGGCAGCCAGCCTTCTGGGTGTCAGATCTGGTGTGACTGCTACAGAATCCTTAGAGCAGCTCACGCAGGCAGCATTCATGCCTCTCCCGGGCAACCGTGGCCTGTGAAACTTCAGACGTGAGGCTCTTCTGACCTGCTAGTGTCCTTTAGGACCCCAGTATTGGGTGCAGGTGGGAGTGGGTCCTCACATTTTCTGTGTCCCTGGATTCTGCTGCCTGTTGCAGTGATGGTCCTGCTGCGCAGTGATGCTGCCATTTCTGCTGATGTTTCCCTGCCTGCTGCCTTCATGTGTCAGAAAGTCAGTAGTTCATCAAAACTACCAAATAGCTTAAGGGCATGCTAAGTCAAGAGGGCAATTTTCATGGGGCTGAAGGGAAATTAGATGGAATGTTCTTTATTCCCTCCAGAAAGTATTTGGACATGTTATCTTTGGGAAGTAGAGCCAATATATATGTCAATAACACTATTAATCAAAGATCCTCATATAATAGTTACCTGTGATGGCATGAACTGGCTGGGGCTATGTTTTTGCCCTTGCCTGAGTCAGATAGGGCTTCAGGAGAGGGCCTGGGGCTTTGTAGATACAAAGGAGTTGATATAAGTGTAGGGCTACAGAATTTCCTAAAGATTAGATCTTGCTATAACTAACTGTGTTTTAGGGTCAGGAAGTTGTTATTGTTTTCTCTCTCTCTCTGTCTCCCCTGTATAAAGACATAATTCTGGTAGAGCAGAACTAAATGGCGTCACAGCTCCTGGACCACCTTTGAAGCCAAGTCTCTTCATTACTGCCTGGGTTACAGTGTGGCTAGGGGTGGGCTCTTCTCCCAGCACTGGGCATCCCTTTGATTTATTCAGAAAAAGCCTACTTGAGACTGCAAGCTGCCACATCACATCGGGTTTACCTGAGAGTTCTGAGCCCCGTCAACTCACTATGGTGGTTGGGCTTTCAAGTTATTTTAGCGCAAGGAGTTACCTGGATCGTCCCCTGCCTCCTCTCTCTCCCTCTTCCCTCACCAAATGCAGGTGTAAATGTGGGTTCTCAGTTCACAGGAGTTTATTTGGTATTCAAGCAGAGTCTCTTACCTTCAGAGTTAAATTATCTGAAAAGCTTTTCTTCTATACTGAGTAATAGGATACTACCTGTTTTCTAAGAAGTCAACAAAAGCAAAGTTTAATATTTTATATGAATTGGGAAGTGGCCAATGTAGCTGAGGGTATTTTTACCAAGCATAAAAAAGAAAAACTCATGTGTATTGCAGTGCTTCTCAAACAGTAGGGTGCCTAAGAATTGCCTGGAGGCTTGTTAAAGCTCAGCTTCTGGATGCTCCCATCTAGAGTTTTGATTCACAAGGTCTGGGAAGGGGCCCAATAATTTACATGTCTCTTCAGTTCCTATGTGAAACAGATGCTGCTGATCAGGTACTTGCTTGCAGAACCATTTAACTATTAAAAAGATATGAGGTGATCACTGAAAAATATGAAAAAAATAAAAGAATTCCCTGTAATGCTGTTGCAGTGATGCAAACCTATGGCATACGTGCTGCAACAGGCTATTTATGTCCTTGAAAGCCCTAACAGGTTCATCATCACTGCATGGCCTTGTTGATAATCATTCAATATTTTGGTTTATTTCCTTCATGCTTTTTAACTGAATATTATAGCATATACCTTGTCTCCATATCCTTAAACTTTTTATGAATTGTCTTACTGTCTAAAAACATGGATTAATAAATGACTTTCTTGTAATTTGACTCTTTGTAGTCCAAACTTTGGTTGCCAGCCTGGTTACTCAGTGTTTATTCTAAGCCCCAAGGTTGGGCCCAGGCCAGGGCTCCAATTCAGAAGGTGTTTGTGGGCCATGGCCTTAGCCTTCATAAGGTCAACTGTGTACCCATATTAAGACAGCTAGGACAGTCCTCTGCAGTTAACATTGTGTTGTACCTCAAATGCAAATGGAAGCAGGCTTTCACCTTTGCCCTTGAATTTCAAAATTCTGCTCATCTTTTAGGTAGTGAGATTTCAGAGACTCAGGGTCCTTCGTTTAAAAATAGAGTAAGTAGTTATTCCGAGCAAAAAGGAGTATAAGAAATCCTTGATGTCTGGTGACTGAACAAAGAAATTATTAGTGATACTGGGAATTCAGTGAAGGCAGATGACCATGTTACTAAATAGGACATAAGGGGAACGTTTTAAAAACATTTTTATTATAGTAAAATATACATAGCAAGAAATTTACCATTTCAGGTGTTCAGTCCAGTGGCATTAAGCACATTCACGTTTGTTTGTACAGCCATTGCCACCATCTATTCTCAGAACTTTTTAAGTCAAGCCAAACAAACTGTCCTTATTTATTAGTATCTTTCCATTTTTTCCCCCAGTCCCTGGTAACCTGTTTTCAACTTCCTGTCTTTGAATTTAACTGATCTAGGGGACTCATACAAGTGGAATCATATGAGTCCTTTTGTATCTGGCTTATTTACATAACCTCATGTTTCAAGGTTCATCCATATTTCAGCATGTATCAGTATTCCATTCTCTTTTATGGCTGGATAATATTTCATTGTATGGGCATACCATATTCTGTTTATCCTTTCCTCTCCTGATGGACTTCTGGGTGTCATAAATAATGCTGCTTTGGACACTGGTGTGCAAAGTTTTGTTTGAGTCCCTGCTCTGAGAATACTTTTAAAATTACAGTGGTTAGAACTTATCTAGAATTTGTACTATCTATTGTGTCCTGAGTAGGCTGGTAGCCTCCTCCTCCAGGCAGGGGGCTTTGGCATGAGAGAAATGTGAGAGCAACATGCATACCCCAAAACACACATGGTATATACAAACCAGTCTAATTTACATGATTGTGTAAATAAATGCATTAATTATCTGCCTTGTACAGATTGTACTTTGGGAACTGTGAGTAAGTCTAAGGCCTCATTCTGTCAAATGCAGAATTCTGCCATTGAAGGGACTATTCCCTTGAGCTGTTATTAAGTATTATCTCTGAGAGAACGCTTGGATGTTAACATGGAGAGAAAGAAGTGAGACTTTTGCACTGCCAAAGTTTGAAAACACAACTTTGCAAAGTTCTGAGTCTAGTTGAACTCTTGTATCAGGAAGCTCAGTTAGCTTATGGCTCCTCAGACAGTTGTAACCAACAGAGGCATGTCTTAATCAGGGACAGCTGATTACTGATTACTCTGTTTCTGTCATGGGGCAGGGTGACACCTCCCCATGAAGCAAGCACTTATGTTCGTGTCATCATCATCTTGCTTCTGAAGAAGCCTAGCAACTGCAGACTCCTCCTGGGGAGACCAAGAGCTGAGGCCGTCTTAGGAGGGGGAATTCCCAGCAGGCTACACTAAGTGGCAGCTGTTGGAATTAAGGCAACTCGACGATGGACTGGGGTTGGCTGGGGTGGATTAGAATGATTTATTGTTGGTGCTGGCACTGCCTGACCCCATTCTGTTTAAGAGCCTGTCAGCATCTCAAGAATGATTTGTTCACACATCTGCACTGATTAAAAGAACATTGCTAATCAAAAGCCTGTGGGAGAGGGGGCAGAACCCACGTCCAGACCAGAAGGTCACATGATTATTGGGATGATAGAAGTCTGCAGGCTTCCAGAACCACAAAAACTTCCCCTGCTGGGAGGAAAGGGGGCAGGAATACAGTAAGAAAAAAAAATAATGGAAACAAGACCAGATGTAATTTTCAGGGTTTTTGTTTGCTTTTAAAGGTAAGTCAGAAAGCCTGCTGCTGCTTTCTGACTTACCTGGAATGGAAAGTTTATTGCATTCCAAATGGAATGATTATTCCATTCGTGTAATAATCCACCCCCTACATACCTTATCCATTTCATCGCTTGTGTTCTGCCATGCACCGGCACATGCTAACCCCTTCCTGTCACTTTGTCCATGCTATATTCATAAGTAAAATACTTTCACTGTCCTTGCTGTATCATTACTCACTTTGATGCACTTCAATTTTCACATCTTAAGGCCTTTCCTGTTCTGTGGAGCAGGACTAATTGCTCCCTTCTCTGTGTTGTCATACTCCTTGATGGGTACCTCTTCATTGTGCAATCTGATTGCATGGAAATTATTCTGGTCCATTTTTGTTTTACCATGTGTTTCTATATGCATACACCACAAAGAGTCTTGTTTTGTTGTGCTGTATCATTTAGTATCATAGTCCATCGACCATTTTCACAAATGCTTTTCATCCAACTTTTTTTTATTTAACCAGGAGCTATGTTGTGTTTTATTACTTTTAACAGCTTTGTAGTATCCCATTGTAGATTGCATTTTATTTATCTGTTCTACCCACTGGTAGACATTTAGGTTTTATTTTTATTGTTAAACATGGTCTGTTTAACAATAAGAATTATTGAACATTCTTATGCATACTCACTTGTGCACCTATGTAAAGATTTATCTAAGATCTAGAAGTAGAACTCGTGAATTGTTAGATGCACGCATGCTCAATTTTAGTAGCTATGCCCAGCTGCTCTTCAGAGTGGTTGTTTTAGTACTTTTAGACCCATCATATCACTTGGCAAAGCAGCCTCATGAGATGAGAAGATAGATCTTCTGGCAGTGCTTTCCTAAGTTTTCCCAAGGAGTAACTTGGAAGTGAGAAAGGGTCTTGTTGCCATTTAACAAACGAAGACATTTGAGTGTTTTTGAAAGTTCAAATTAGAATTTTAAAGTTGAAAATTGATTGTTGAAACTAGATTGTCCTTTCACATGTTCCACAAATTGGGCTTTGTTGGTTGTATGCTCACAGTGATATTTAAATGTTCCTTGTGGGTAAGTCTAAGGGCTCATTCTGCCAAATGCAGAATTCTTCCATTGAAGGGACTATTCCCTGGAGCTGTTACTCAGCATTATCTCTGAGAGAAGGCTTGGATGTGAACATGGAGAGAAAGAAGTAAGACTTCCGCACTGCCAAAGTCTGTAAACACAACTTTGTAAAGTTCTACTGAGACACTGAGGTGCTGAGAGAATGCTTCCGTGTCTTTTGTTGGAGACAGGTTATGACACAAACTCCTCTGATTGGGTGTCTCATGGAGGATCATGTTAGCTTGGCTGAGCTCTAGCCCTGGCCTGACCTTGAGTGTGTTCTAAGCACTGAGATACACTTCAGAGCACTTTGACACACACAGGTTAGAGCACTTACCCACTTCCTGCAGAGGAGCGCACTATCTGTGGTGTAGGTTGCTTTGCACACTTCAACCCTAAAGTAAAAATATATTGCAGCTCCCATTGAGGTTGTAGGAGCCTTGAGTGGCAAGTGACATGAGAACAAGGAGTACAGAACTCTCATCTCAGTGGAGGAAAACTGAAATCCAAGTTCATTTATGCCTCCATTCATTCAGATATGATTGAGTGCCTACCACAGGCTGGGCACTGGAAATGGTGCTGGAGCACCCTGATCTCATGGACAGGGAGGGCCCAGGTGCAGTTCAGGGAAGGGAAGGAGAGGGGAGATGCAGGGCCCAGAATGCGCATGGCAGGAGACATTCTATCCTAGAAGAACCCTGCCTGCCTGAAGATTGAGACTAGCAGGAAGAAGAGGAGCCAGCTGAGTACAGAGTACAGTAGGAAGAAAGTGTCTCTAGTAGAGGGAGAGCATGTAGGGCTTTTGAGAAAGAAAAAAGGTGGGCAGGATTATTAGAAACTGAGGCCCCTTCTAGGTGAAAGGAATAAAAAGCAAGACTGGGCTGGATCCTGCCAAGAACAGAAGCTGTGCCGAGGACCGAAAACTAGATCAGAAGGTAGCGGGATCCACTGAAGCATTTTACCCAGGAAATGCAACCAAGAATTGCAGTCAAGGGAAGAACTGACAGCAGGAGACAAGAGTAGGATCAAAGAGACCTATGGAGTGATTGTTGAAAAAAGACAGTAGTGACATGGGCTAAGGCTATAGCAGAGGGACAGAGAACAGTGGAAAGAAACATGACCATTTGAGATGTTGTACCTATTATACTTGGAGGGAGGCAGGTGCATAGCAGGGCAGGCCAGTCCCAGGCAACCCTGCTCCCCTAGTGCAGAGCCGGGTTTTGACCTTGGTGAGCGGAAGGTCACAGGGCCTAAGGCCTCACTTTATTCCCCTTGAAAGTAGGAACCATGAGTGCCTTATGCAGAGTTGGCGGGCTGTCTCCTCCAGTGTTAGAGGTCAGGATTTTGACCTTTGCAGCCGTGTGATGTGCTTTCAGCTGTTTTGTTCACCTGGTTAATAATAGATACCAGTTGGCCTTGTGGGGTTTGGGTTATCAAGGGATACTCGACGTTGTGTTGCTTGTGCTCAGCTGGGCAGGAGTGGAAGGTGGGTTGGGATTTGGTTTTTTTTCCCCCAACCTCTTTGTGTCTCATATTTCGTAGACCACTGAAATGTTATAGTGGTGTTTTCAAGTGTTTTAACCACCTAAAAATGTAAATATGTGAAAAAGATTAAACCAGTAATACATTTATTACCAATATATTAGTAGTTTGATGTTTTATAGTCATAGTAGTCATACAATGCGAGCACTTAGCCACTCGTATTTAAAATTACCATCTAGTGTTTTGAACTGTGTCCCTCCCTGCTGCTACGTAAGAAATAATATCAAGATGATGATGGCTTCCTGATTTATCCCAGTAATGAAATATGTTGCAGGAAGGGGTGTCAGTTGATGGTCTGTGTCTAGGAAGTACTGTTTATCATTTGGGAATATCACTGGCCTGCGCAGCTGAAGTGCAATAAAAGTGAATTAAGCACAGGGAGACTGTTTTTTCTTACAGATAGTTCAGAGCTAATGGGCCTTACCATTGTTTTAGTGGTTCAAGGATGTCAGAGCTGAAGTTTCTATGATTCTCTAGGCCTTTTCCTTCATGGTTCCAAACTAACTGCTATAGCCAGAGCCATCACATGTGTATTCCAGGCAGAGCAGGAAGAGAGGAGAGATAATGAAGTATATCTCCCAGCTGGTTAGTCTCCTTTAAAGAGCCCATTGATGGCTCTCACCAGCCATCCTTAGGAGTGAAAAAAAGCTGAATAATGAAGTTTGGTTTTGGTTTAAGTCAGCTAAAGAATTTTTGTGTCAGCCTATTGTCATCACGATAGCAGAGGGGCTCAGAAAGTAAGGAGGAAGGAGAGGAGAAAGGAGATGGGTACTGCCAAAAGGCTGCAGGCCTGAAATCAGGAAAGCTCTAGTCCTTTTACTAATCTTCCCGTCATTCTTGGCTTTGTCCAGGCCATCGGGAATGCCAAGACCACTCGCAATGACAATAGCAGTCGCTTTGGGAAGTACATTCAGATCGGCTTTGATAAAAGGTACCACATCATTGGCGCCAACATGCGGACCTACCTGCTGGAGAAGTCGAGAGTGGTCTTCCAGGTGGGTGGGCCCTTTCCGTGTTTCATTCTCTGGATGAGGCCTCCCTTGTTTCTCTCTGTCCCGCTCCCTGTACCCAAAGAGCAGCTCGCCTTTGGAGTCTGGAACTGAATGTACTCATTCTTTTCCCTTTTTCTTTTCTTTCATCATGGGTATTTATTCAGATGGAACAGACACTGGTCCTCAAGAACCTTCTATACAGTGTTGCTTTGATTCAGTCAACAAGCATATACAGTAGTAAGGGCCTGTTGTGTGTTAGCCCTGCGTTAGACCCCGGAGAGTCAGTAAAGAACAAGGCGTTCCTTCAGGCAGAGGCAGAGTCTGTGCGTTCAGCTGTCCTCGCAGCCTTTTCATTTGGTAGGTTAAAATAGATATAAATGTATATACGTGTGCAAACAGACACGTACACACACATTCCTCCTTAGTTTTCTTTTCAAGTAAATGGAGCTCTCAATCTTCCCCAACTTTGTTCTTGTCTTCTGCGTACCTTTCCTTTCCTCCTGCCTGTGATTTGTCTTGTTCTTGGTGACAGCCCCATGCTAAGGCTTAGCAAATGTCTAATGAATGTTTTACCAACTCCCCCTTTTTGCCCAGCTTTGCTGTGCACCTCATGGGTTGGTTCGGTCACCCCAAGCCCCTTATTTTACTGCAGCAGAGGGAGTAGCCTGCTGTGTTGGGTGTGGGTCTGACGTGTTTCCTTCCCAGGAACCCTTTCTTGAGATGTCCTCTTCCTTTGCTCAGATTTTCTGAATCTCTACCACTAGCCATTTCCAGTCAGCCAGTCTGGCCCCAAGTGTCCACTAGAAGTCCTCACTCAGTGTGGACCTTCCCTGACTATCCAGCCTGACATGATGAGCAGGCTCAGCTATCACTTAGCACCAAGCCTCCCAGAGGAAGAAGGAAGCTTACGGTGGGGAAATTTCAGTGTATAGAACACAGTAGTCAAGCATCACAGATGAGTATCTGCTGATCGACTGACCCACCATTCGTGGGCTAACGATGTTCTCTGTAGAAGAAAAAAAGAACATAACGCTTTTGTATACATGAAGAGATAAATACCCTTGGGTTAGAAGAAGCCCTCATCATAGAGGTAAAAATCAGGCAGTGGGAACTGAAGGTGCAAAGGGTGTGGCGGAAAACAGGAAAAGTGCTGGACTTGGTTCCTACCACCTGGACACCTGAGAGCAGAATGGAGTAGATAATGATCTTGGAGATCACTGACCTAAAATCAGCTGTTCACTATTTCCTCCTGCAGGCAGATGATGAGAGGAATTACCACATCTTTTACCAGCTCTGTGCTGCTGCCAGCCTCCCGGAATTCAAAGAGCTTGCACTGAGTAAGTCAGCAGGTGCCTACCTGTCCTTGGGGAGCCTGCTGCTACAGGGAGTGGTACAGGTAGGGCTCTGCAAGGAGGAAAGGCGCTCTTCTGAGAGCCCTCCAGTACGGGTTCTTCGCTCTGTCTCCATCGTGACTGAACCTTACTGCCCGGTTAGTCAAATGAGGTTAATCATATCCAGGCCACCTGCCACGGGAAGTGTGGGAGAGGATAAGAAGGTAGAGGTGGGAATGTTTTTCATGAGACATTTGTCTCCAGCTTGAGAATCTAGAGATTTAAATAATGCATATCATTTACTTGTAGCCAACATGCTTTAGGTCATATTGTAGGACTGAGACAAAAAGGAAGGGGAAGGATAAAGCCAGGGTGATGACTCTGTTTCACTGAGGCATAGGCAACAGCATCACAAAAGATAGTACAGGGCTCAGGTGAGTGAGACGTAGCGCTGCCTGGCTGTCTGACCCCTCCTGAACAGGCATGGAAGCTTGTAGCACAACTAGATGGGGCAACCAAAAGCCCTCTCCACAGGAGCCAGTGCAGATTAGATGAATCACCCTGTCCCGCTCAGATGAATGAGCCTAGCCTTTGTTTGCAGTAATGAATACATTAACAAGTTTCCTTTGCTCTGAGGCTTTTGACCTACAGCCACTAAAATAGTGAGCAGGCTGTTTTTTAATTTTTATTTTGGGTGGTGAAATTGGTTAGAGTCATTGCATTTATCTACATCCTCACCCCACCCCCTACCCCCTTTAAATTTTGAAGCAGGTTAAGTTGCCTACGCTAGGCTTAAATATATAATCCTGCCTCAGCCTCTGATAGTGCTAGGATTACAAGCATGACCACCATGCTCTGCTATGAGCAGGCTTTTAGTTCTTGGTTCTGTGCCACATAGCACCTCTGCGTGGGCCCGGAGCCTATGTCCCCTTCTCTGTGTGGGTCTGTATTGTGTAGCATTGATAGATTCCTGCTACTAAGCTTTTGTGGCCAGCGGGTGTGATGGGGGTGTCGTGTGCCAGGCCTGGTGTCTATATTTTGGGTTATGTGGAAAGAGTCAAAGCTGTAGGGTGGTGTAAAGAGCTTGGTGTCTAGGCAGAAGTTAGTTGGTCTTTGCATATGTGTGTGTAGGGGGTGGCAGGCAAGCAGGCATACACAGACAGGAGAGAGACAGAGACAGAGGGACTTCCAAGGGTTCGCTGTCCCTGATCCAAATCTGAGCCATGCTAAGGAGGCAGGACCAGATCGCACTGTGCTCCCAATAGCTACATTTTATCAAGTCCATTCATGGTTTACCCTTTAACTATGCTTTCCTTTTATAAATTCATACATTAATTGATGCATGTACCATGCAATTTAGCATTCATTCTGTTTATTAATCACACTCTTCTCGGGCCGTGATAGAGCAGTATTGACTAGAACAGCTGTGGGCTCTGCTTTTGCTTGGTTTGTCAGTTACAATAGAGTGACAAGGCTGTGCTGCCGGAAGCATAGCTCAGGCAGGGCAGAGGGTTCCCCCCAGGAAGCCTTGTTTCAGTTGGCACCCAGGCATGAAGTTCTAGATGACATCCACTGTACTGTTTCTTCCTGGTCTCTACTTGCTAACAAGTCTGATTCTTTTGTAACTACTTCAAGGACAAGGAGTGCAAGCTACCTGCTAAGTAGAGCAGATGCTGAGCAGAATCTAGAGATTTAAATAATGCATATCATTTGCTTGGGCCAACATGTTTTAGGTCATATTGTAGGATTGAGACAAAAAGGAAGGGGAAGGATAAAGCCAGGGTGATGACTCTGTTTCACTGAGGCATAGGCAACAGCATCACAAAAGATAGTACAGGGCTCAGGTGAGTGAGACTTGTTTGAGCAGTGCCCCGACCTGGCACCTTCTGGCTCTGATGTCAGCTCTTAGTCACAAGTAGCCAGGCAGGCAGTCAAGACATGGACACTGCCACCTTCTCTTTATTTCCCAGAGTAGAGTCCTGGCCCAGCAGGCCTTTTCAGGACCAACCTACAGGAGATGAGTTTTCCACCCTCAGGTCAGTTTTATAAAGAAAGAACAAATGCAGATCCACCTGGTTGATTTTATACCACTTTGTCCCAAATGTAACTTGAACAGAGACAAAAGCCTCCTAAGTTCTATTTTTGGACTTACATGAGATGTACTGGGGTTAAAAATGGTTTTTCCTTATTCTGTATCAGTGTAAGAGGGCTACAGACTCCTTGGGCTCCCAGCTGCAACACTTGAAAACTACCCAATTTGATCAATTTCTTGTATCTTAAAGTGAAATGAAGAGCCTTTGATTAGCTCTTGTGCTGTGGTGTGAGGCCGTCTTCAGCCGTGAAGGTGGATTTGCTGTGAGCCCTGAAGCTTGTTGTGGTTCTATGTTAATCCTTGTCCAGTAACTGGGAAAGTCAAATAAATGAAGGACTGGCTAAGGGCTCCAAGTGACTCTTTAGAGTTGCCTTGTATCCTTTTCCTTCTACAGTGATACAGAGAAGTCTTTCCAGGAGTCAGTGGCCAGGCATGAATTTTGTATATTTGTCTGGAAGTTGAGGGCACAGATTTGCATCCTGTTATCCATTTTCCTCTTATTCCAGTTGCGTTTAAAATGACCTGAAGAGGAAATTTTTAAAGTCCCATGAATAATTTGTTAGTGAATAAAGAAGGCAAGGTGCAAGGGCCAATTTCTCCTCACATCCTCAAATGATTAAAGAATAAGTTTCTTTTCTCTTCTTCCTCCTTCTTTCCAGGGTCTTGAACATGTTAGGCAAGTGCTATACCACTGAACTACATTCCTCAATCCTTTTTTAAAATTTTATTTTGAGACAACATCTCACTAAGTTGCCCACGCTGGCCTTGAATTTGTGATCCTCCTGCCTCAGCATCCTGAGTAGCTGGGATTACAGGCATAGCTACCATACGTCCCCCCTTAACTTCCATAGTGTATTGATACAGTTTTATAAACAACCTCTCTGACCTTGCGCAGGTCAGAGTAAAACCTCCCTCAGTAGAGTGCAGGCTGCTGTCCTTGGCCTTGATGGTTCTGTACTCCAATCATTGAGTCATTCCCTTTTTGTGATCTGTTCACTGCCTGATCTGTTAGCTGCCTGTTGAGCCAGTTAATGTGGTATATTTCTTGTTGGGAATTCTTAGTAAAGAAAGCAATCTAAACTGGGAGATGAAATGGTCTGTGCTTCCTTCATGGACCTAAAAGGAGACTTGAGATCCAGGCAGGTCAGGTGGGTAGAGAAAGATTGACTGCATTTTGTCTCTTATTAAGAGTCTGGAGCATGGAATTAACAAGTGATTGCAGATTTTAAAGCAGAGGAAAAGGAGACGTTTGGTTTGATTGAATTCAGATCATTTGGCAGAAATCTGCTGGTACTGGTCCTGATGACTCCTGCAATGATAAACCTCAGCTTGAAGAAGTTATCCAGCTGGGCTTGAGTTCTGAGAACTGGGAGCAAGGAAGGTAGTGGGTGGTGTGTCTGATTCAGAACATAGGCAGTGAGGGCCTGGCTATGGACAATGTAGTGTCTTCAAAAGATCCTTTCCCTCCAGTTCAGGAATCCCCTTCAGAATCTTAGGTGACTCTGATGTATTTGTCTGACACTCGGTAATGAGTTAGGTTTTGTTTATGGCCAAGCTGTGGGATGCCAAAGATAAATGATGATGTCTACAATGAGATGATCAGGTAATGGGGTTTCAGCCTAGGCAATCCCTGGTGAGCCTGGGCAACCTCTTAAAGCCCTATGTTCCTCATTTTGCCTGTCCAGAAAGAGGGAGAAATATAGTTGGGCACTGTAAAAATCATCAGATGAGATACTTTGAAAAATGAGTATAGAGAGAAAAAAGAATTGTTTTTATTAAGTCTTTGAAACTGTAATGGTATTCTGTCTCAGAGCTTATTGAGTAATTAACTATGAAAGAGCCAACTATGCTGTCTTCAGCAAAGATCTGCTCTGCTTTTCTTCATAAAAATTCTTTTCTGCGGAAGCTGTGAATGAGCACAGGACTGAAGTCACAGTATGTTAAGTTACTCCTCCAAGAAGTTTCTCTCCTAGCACACCACTGACACTGTCTTCATTCGTGAGGCCTCTGTATCCTGAAGGTTATAGTTCAGGTTGTGTAGTCAAAGTAGAATTTAAGGCTAACTCCTGCCACTTTCTGGCTGTGTCTGGCAATATTTGGTTAATGGGCCAGGAGAGTTTATAAAATGAATTGTGGTTTGGAACACAGTGTGGTTTGGAGCACCAGAGATGCTGGTGGTTAGACTCAAGGCATTGGCAGTCAGCAGAGGGAAAAGGAAGCGCTGCAGAAGCTTTTGAGAGATCAGATCAGAAGGGTAAGGTGCTGAGGAGTAGTGGGAGTGGCCGTGAAGCTGGGTAGATAAGTGTGTTTAGCTAATGTGTACTCAACCATTCATGTTCGGTCAAGGGAAAAGAACTTAAGAGGGGTTTTCTGGGGAGGAGAAAAACCAGCCCATGTCCAGTTTTGGCATCCTGTCAAAACCAAATGCTATGTACAATGTAGCAGGCAGGGTTGTACCACAGAAGGTAATGTACTTTGTGACTCACATGATTTGCAAGGGTAATTTTGATTATGGGCAATCATTACTCTAAGTGCTGATTTCTGACACCAGGACCCATATGCAAGCTTATGCTACCATCCCTCATGTGCTGCAGCTTCTATCCAGGGTTTCTTCTAGTTTTGCCTTCTGCTTAGCTTGGCTTTGACCTGTGAGATACAACATGGCTCTTTATCAGTGGTCCCTAAGGCAGTTATCAGAAGCCCAACTAAAAAAGACTTAAACTAGGGGATGAGAGCAAACAACCTGTGCTTGTTGATGTGCCTAAGTAACTTAAGTGTGGCCTGACTTTGTAAAACAAATGAGCACATCACTGTCCCTCATCTGTCAAGTGAGATTCTCAGACAAAGATTATCTAAGGCCATGGAAGTCTGTGATTCTAGGATGTGATTCTAAGTATGTGCCTTACTCCTGTATGACAGATCTTTCTGTAAGACAAACTGGGTGACTCATTAAATTGAACTATTCTTGACCTATTTATCTTTTATATTAACATGTTGTCTCCTATGAGTTTTACATGAATACAACAGCACATTCTGTCACTATAATTTTTCATTATTCAGTTCTCTCTCTCCTACTTGCCATGTGGATAAAGAATATTTTAAAGGATTTCACATCCATCTAAGACTAAAATTTGATCTGGGTATGGCATCGTCAGGGAGTGGAAACCACTGGGCTGGGTCAGGCAGTCATGATCTGTAGGGGATGCAGGGCTGAAGTTCTGTCCTGTGTGTGACACCTTATCTCCCTCTTCCCATAGCATGTGCAGAGGACTTTTTCTATACATCGCAGGGAGGAGACACGTCCATCGAGGGTGTCGATGACGCAGAGGATTTTGAGAAGACTCGACAAGCCTTCACACTTCTTGGTAAGGAGCTTCTCAATGGGAGGAACAAACCCAGAGGTCTGATCCTATGGAGGGGAGAAAGAAAGATAGTGTCCCACATAGCTTGCCAGCCTACTTGAGCCTACAGGGGACACCTCTGACACTTGGTAAACCTCTTCCTATTCTTAACCACCTCAACTCTCAAGCTTCAAAGCTTAAAATTTAAAGCTTTTGTTGGCCTTTATTAAAAATGAAGGCATGGTGAAGTTTTCCTTTTCACCTTCTCAGCCACTGAAACTGATGGAGGAATATCCAGTAAGGCCATGGCTTCTGTGCTGTGGTCGGGCTCAAAGGCAGTGTGCTCCAGCAGGAAGAGCACCGCACAGGGGCCTAACTCCCCGTGCCCCGGAAGCACACCGTAAGTGTTGGTAGCTCTGTCACACATGAGTGTAATCATGTTAGCTGTTTCCATATAGAGCTTAGTGGGGCAAGAAGTTCTCTCTGCCAAAAGCAAAAGGTGACAGTAGAGCTGAAGGAATTTTCCTCTCTTCTCTGCCAAATTTTCAGGGGAGGACCCCTCAGCAAGGAGGAATGGAAAACCTTTCTTAATTGGGAGGTGGAAGAGTTCAGTTCTGGGACCAGCCAGAAAATAAAGGAAAGCTTGAGAAGCCGGTGTGAGAGCCAGCAAGTGGCTCAGGATGACCCCTGTCTTTTTCTGACTCCCTCCCTGACAATGGCAGAGAACTGCTTTCTGAGCACTGGCTAACTCAGGACAGCATGTTGCTTTTTTGTTGGGGTTTGGGGAGTTTTATTCAGTGGCCAAGTAAGACATGCCCTAGTCTCTGTGTGGGAAGGAGCTCAGGCCCTCATGTGCTAGAATCCTATATGGGTTCTTTCTCTGGGTAATATAGATAAGGTTTGCCTTTTGTGCACATAAACTGTCAGTCAGGAGATAGAAACCACACTGCTATTTCAACAGAGAAAAGTAACATAAATAATTGTTGACCCAAGTGGTGATTAACTATGAGAAGAGAGACCAAGGTAAGAGGAACTCAATTTCAAGCTCAGCCTGGGCAACTCAGCGATTTGAACTCTGAACTCTGACTCCAAATTTTAAAAGGGCTGGGGATGTAGCTCAGTGCTAAGGCTGTGGATTCAATCCATAGTACCACACACATACACACAAAGGACTTTCAGGGTTCAAAAGTCGTGCAAAGGAAGCTGCTATCACCAGGGCAAGGAGCAGCCAGTACAGGAAGTCTTGAGTAGAGGAGTCCTCTGCCTTTGGCTGCACTTTAGACCATGTCTGAGAGGATGTGGTAAAGAAATTTGCCAGAGGATAGGGGCCAGCACTGACGTATACAAGCAGGCTGCACTTGTTCCAGGCTACAGCAGGGCTAGAATGACTGAGGAGCGGCAGCTGATGGGGAGAAGCTGGTGGTAGGCACAGAGAGAACTCAAGGAGGTTGCTTGTTTCCTTGCACATCACTGTAGTGTCTGCAGGCACAGGGAAGGGTGTGGGGACCAGCCGCAGGACCGCCACACAGGACCGGAGGGAGAGATGTGACAGCCAGAGGCAATGAGCTGAGAATGGGCACCCTGACTTCCCTAGCATCATCATGCACCTGTCTTACTCTGGAGTTAGGGGTTTGGAGGAAGCTTGAATGCCTTTTGCCAGCTGGCCAGAGACAGGAAAAGGCTTCTGGCCACTGCCTCTGTAGTGCTGGGGCAAGCAGTAGGCAGAAGGTGGTATGGGTCCCTGTGAGGCTGTGAGATGGATACTTTAATTCTCGTGGCAGATCACATTTATAAAATTAAGTACTTTAATAAGATGTCTTTCCTGCTCCTTAATAAAAAAAAATGTGCATTTCTCTTAAATTCCAAGGGCTGGCAAGCTTGTTCTTAAAAGACAGGGTAGTAGGCCTTTTAGGCTTTGTGAACCGGATATCACATGATTTCTGTGCACCCACTGAGCTCTGCCATGGTAGCATGGAAGTGGCCACGGACAAAACATACACCAATGGGCATGTCTGTGTCCTGATTAAAGTTTAGTTGTGTACTTGCGAGGTTGAGGCTAGAGGATCACAAGTGTGAGGCTAGCATGGGCTACATGGTGAGTTCAGGGTTCACCTGGACTGCATAGGGAGACCCTGTCTCAAACAACAGCAGCAAAAACTTACAAAAAGTAATTGGACGATAGATGCTGACTTCTATTTCACTCTTTAGGTTTTTATTCCTCGCCTTTTGTTTAGTTTTTGCTTCCTATAGTGAGGTACTGCTTATTCAGAGGATCTCATAAGAAGAAGAAGAAGATTTTTTAACAGTGTTCATTTTATTGTGTTCATACTTTAGTTGTCCACTTTGCAGATTATCAGGGGAAATTTTTGTTTCCAAGATGATATATCTGTGCCTCCCATTTACACAGGTGTGACTTTTTTTTTTAGCTTGAATAAAATATTGCCAACCTGTGTCTGGGAGGAATTTGGGATTAGAACTGTATCATTTCTTAAAATGAGTGGTAGGTTTACTAATGTTCGTTATATCATTCTATAGCTTTTTTACATGTCCAACATATCTTTTAATTTAAAAGAAAATGTTAATGCCCTCAAGCTAAACATAAATTTGCAGAGATTTTACATGCTTTTCATAACTCATGCAGGTAAATAACAAATTTGATAATCCTGCTTGGTGCCACAGTAATTCTAGTGAGGGCGTGTATGTCACTCTGTGGGCTCATATAGCATGGAGAACAACTGTTCCCGTCTCAGACAGGGCAGGAGCCAGCTGGCCGGCCAGCCCCTAAGACCACAGTCCCAGGGGTTTTCTTCTACACTGTGGATGTGTGTCACAGATGTTTGCAGGATATTACATTGAGAGAAAAATGACTGCAGATAAATGACCATTCTTATTAAACTCATAAAATCATCCATAAAGTGTTTGGTTGAAATGAAGTCCAAATGAGCCTGTGTGATTGCTTCCTCTCTTGTGCTCTTTGAGAAGTTGAAATGGTAGTGTGACCCATCTGATTTGATTGGGACAATCAAAGTGCATATATTCTCTTTTTAGTCTAGAAGCCCCTTTGCTTTCTGAGCTGTTGCTATGAGTGGTAATTACTTGGTGAGCAGCCTGGATCGTTGTAGGAGTCATTGGCCCTGGAAGGAAAATCAAACTTTATTTTTTTAAAAGTTCTTAAAAGGGGTAAAATGTCCTTTTTATCATAGCATGGATACTGAGTGTCATTCATTCATTTTTTTCTTCCAGGAGTGAGAGAGTCCCATCAGATAAGCATTTTTAAGATAATTGCTTCTATCCTGCACCTGGGAAGTGTGGAGATTCAGGCTGAGCGTGATGGTGATTCCTGTAGCATATCAGTAAGTTGCAAGCCAGCGGCAGAGATAAAGTGTACACAATTCACTCCATTCTTACAATTTGATATGACTGAAATGTGTCTCTGCACTTAGAGGGCAGCCCTAGGTTATTTACTCTTAACCATAATGGCTTCTGTTCACCAGCTGATAATTTTTTAAAAGAATCCATTTCAAATCAGCTGCCATCAAATTTCTATCACTAAGGGCAAGAAATTTAGTGGCTATTCAATAAATTCTTTTCAATGGGTTGATTTTCCAAATTCCCCTGAGGTACATGGAATTCTACATGTTTATCAATCCATGGAGTGCTTTCAGGGCTGCTATGATCCTGACAGCAAGAAGATGAAAGAGGGGCTGGGGATTTAGCTCAGCGGCAAAAGCGCCTGCCTGGCGAGCGCAAGGTCATGAGTTTGGTTCCTGGTACCGGAGAAAAACCAAAAAAAAAAAAGAAGATGAAAGAGTATTGGGCACTATACTTGGTGACTGCCTTAGAAGAGCTTATAGTTTACTTTGACATGACAGGCAATGACAACGCTTGCCAAGCTTCTGCCAGTATGAGGCAGAATATTGAGTAAGACATCTACACGAAAGTCATGCACACTGTAAAGTGCTCCATAAAGACTCATGATGAAAGTTCTTTTCCTGGTGTCAAGTGTAGTAGCTAATATGTAGTAGATGGATGATGTCTACACAGATGCGTGGCTGGTGCACCAAGTCCCAGAGCAGTGGTACAGATAACAATTGCTGTGTTCTCTATGGAATTTAGTGGGGGTTGGGCTAGGCTAAAGCTGGTATCCTGCCTTTTCCATTGAGTGGATATTTATTAACGTCCTGTTGTTTAAGTTAGAGGTTATCAGAAGTTCAAACTGGTTCAGTCCTCAGAGAGAGGAAGATCTAAGCTCTAGCTAGAACCAGGTAGAGCTTATCACCCGTCTCCCTTCCGCCTCCACATTATTTTCCCGTAAAAAATGACCCGAGATTTGACGACTGGGACTGTGCAGCCTCATGAGAGTTGTGAAGCTCCAACAGAGACCCAGTGGGAAAGGAGGGGATGTTGGAGCTGCAGGGTCAAGTGCCCCAGAGCAGAGTCTAACGATCATGTCTCTGTGTGAGCACCTGTGAGGGTGGGTGGAGCTGGCAGCAGTGATGCTGGGAGAGACTGGTGTGTGCCGAGGACCTGTGGCCTGGTGGATGAGCCTCCACTGCAGACAAAACCCCCACTCTAGTCTCTAGGGCCTGTGGCGTGTTGCCCCTGAGGTGTTTCCCCTAACAAGAAAGGCATAGAGTTTGTGCCTCCCCCACATAACACCTCAGTAAACGTTCCATAGGTCCTTGGGACAGCCATACTCTGGCCAGTATCAGGGACAGAGGAGATTAGGAATGTTTGCATTGACAAACCCCTGGTTTATGTTGGAAAGATGACAAATGTTCCCTTGGCTTTCATCCCACTCAACACCTCTCCCCTCCTCGGTGTTTTTCTTAATGTCGCATACACCTGTCATGAGGAAGTGTGCAGGGGATTCAAGCAGGCTAAGCATGTGCTACATCTGCAGTCCCTTGTCATGGATTTTTACAGCATTCTGTCCCTCCCCCACCTCCAGCTTAGCGGAGTTATTTTGCATTTATTGTGTGAATTATTTGCTTTGCCTCTGTCTGCTGACCTTCCAAACTCTATGAGGATAGGGATTGTTCCTCTTGTCACCAGCAGTGTCCAGGACTCAATAGGCACTCAAGACAGCTGGATGATTGATTGGATACTCTAGGACTTGGGTATGCAAATGATGGGTGATGCTTGGGTAACCATGGGTGACAAAGTCAAAAACATTAATGAGTCTTGGTTGTAAGCCAAGAGAGGCAGGCCAGGGAGTTCCTGGCACCTGCAGCTGAGTGTGGGCAAGCCTGGTACCTCTTGGAAAGGCCAGTCTTGGGCCTTAAGCACATTGTCTCTGATCCTACTTCTGACTCTCCATATCTGACCTCTGAACACCCTTAGGTGTGAAGAAAAATAATCATTTCTTAGTGATTGGTTATATCTGGGTCCCCCCCACTGAACTCTAGGTTTACATTTGTTGTGATCACAATCCTGCCACACATTGACCCATATATGGGTTTGCATGGTGTCCGTACAAAGGTGCAGTTAAGGAGCAGTGGATGAAAGGGACTCGTGGTATACAGAATAAAGAGGAGGCCTAAGAGGCCAAAGTTTGGGGTTATTTTTTGTTTCAGGGGGCGTTTTTTGAGACAGGGTCACACTATGCAGTTCAGGCTGACCTTGAGATCACTTTGTAGCCCAGGCTGATCTCAAACTCATAATGATCCTCCTGCCTCAGCCTCCCTAGTGCTGGGATTACAGGCGTGCACCACCACACCTGGAGAGAGACCAAGGTTTGAATCACACATTATGCAGCAGATCTTTGTCTTGCGGGTAGGCCTGCTGTCTAGACTATCTCAGGAGGCTGTGCAGGTAGAAGCTATCTAGAAAACAGGGAAAATGTTGTCTTTGAGTCAGGGCTTCCAGGGTTCAAATCCTACTTCTGCCACTTCCCAGATGCTAGACTCAGGGCAAGGTACTTCTCCTCTCTATGTCCATTCCCTCCTCTATACAGAGTGGATGGAGGATAAGTGCATCCCTGCATGAAGAGGCTTTGGCTTAGAGTCTATAGAAACTGAAGCTTTGACTGTTGTCATTCTCATTAGAGCCAGAGTGGACCTTAAGAGTATTCCTCTCATCATACACGGCAAGAAAATCTAAGGGCCCGGAAAGTGCAACCTCTCTTTTGAAGGTCAGAATGATAGTTAAAGCTGCTCATGCCTGTAATTCCAGTGCTTAGGGAGGCCAAAGCAGGAAGGTGGCAAATTCAAGGCCAGCCTTGGCAGTTTACCAAGACCCTGTGTCAAAATACAAAATGAAAAGGGCCAGGGCTATAGCTCGGTGGTAGAGTACCCCTGGGTTCAGTCTCTAATACTGCCAGAAAAAAAGCATGAAACACCACAGTTAACGGCCCAGCCAGTGTTTGTTACCCTGCTCTGCTCAGTGTTGCTTCTTCCTCCAGACTGTTGAATCTTTGAGCTAGTCCATCCTCTACGTGCTGGTGGCCCTACTCATCCAAAGCATGGTGTTTCACATGAGTGTAAGCTCAAGAAATGCATCTGTAAAAGGTCCTGCTGATAGCCTCTCTCAAACAGATCTTGGCTTATTTTTCAGGTCCATGGGGTGGGCTCCTGTTGGAAAGGCTGTCTACCCATAAGCGATGTGCCTTCTGCTCGGTAGTTTTTATTTTTAATTAAGGCATGAGAATGTGTTCCATAATCACCAGAGTTACCTTGGAGATGCAACAGCATCCAATTACTTGGACACCAGAGGCAGTTTGTTCTTTGAATCTGGCAGTGTGGGCCCGTAAAACTAATCTGCTACCTATAACGCTGGCTATTTTTAATGGATTTAGCATCATTTAATTACACTTAAATGTAATTGCACTACCTTTAATCAACTGTTACTGCCTTTAATCAACAGTAAGAAGCAGGTGAACATGGAGGAAATCCCATGGCAGTGGCTGGAACTCTGTCCCTTGGTGGTTAACAGAGATCCCCAACTGTGGTCCCTCCTCTGCCACACTCAATGCGAGGCACTGGGGAGGGGAGGGTACCTTGGAACAGGCCTTGGGTCATCGTATTTGCTGCTGGCAGGCCATTTAAATGTCAGGGAATCCATCTGCAGAGCTGCACATAGCAATTAAGAATTTCTTGGAAATAGATCAGATCAACAAATTGGACACTTGCCACCTCTGAACTTACTGGCTGCCAGGCACTAAACTCTACCCCATATGCCTTTATGTTGGGAGAGGGGAATTGGAGGAGGTTGCAGAGTAAAAGGCTGCTGGCCAAGAGAAGTGACTTGGGCAACCCTTGCTGCTGAGTGTGTATGAAAGAGGAGTCCTTTCCACACCGAGCCAGCCCACAACAAGCTGGCCCAGGTGTCATCAGGGAGCCTCACTGAGCCTCATTTTCCTCATGTGAATAAGAAGGAGGCACATCAGAATGGCAATTCCAAAAGTGTTTTCTTGGGAGCCTGATAGTTCTTTAGTCAGGTTGGGGATTTAGCTCAGTTGCACAGTGCCTGCCTGGCAAATAGAAGGTCGTGAGTTTGATTCCGGGTACCCGAAAAACAAACAAACAAGCAAACAAAAACAAAAAACCAATAGTCCTTTGGTCAAATAAGCTCTAGAAGTGCACCTTAAAATATCTCTCTTGTTTGCGCTAACATGGATTGAAGAAATTTTTATGCCCATATCTTGTACCCTGAGTGACTACTTTAACAACATGTAATGTGTTAACTATTGTTATTCTCCTATTATTTTGTTATAAAATTTTGATTTACCTTTTTCCATAAAATAAAAAAAAAGTCTGTCTCTTGGTGCTTGCTAGGTGCATAAACACACCAATGAAGTTGCATTTAACCTGGTGTGAATAAAATCAATTCATATTCTTTGCAGCTGTGTTCCACAAACTACTTTGGCAAAGCACTGGCCTTAATGATTTGGAGAAGTTTTTTTGACTCTGGGGTTCTGTTATTGTTTATTTATGTTTGTTTTGGAAAGATAGATTTTAGATACCCATAGGGGAAAAATGGTCTGAGGATATGAGGTTAAGGGGGAAATGATAGCTCTCTGTTTTTATTGAACAGGCCCTCATTTAAATTCTACATGGTAACTTCATCAGAAAATCAGAATTCCACAAGCAGTATAGGGCTATTAGGAGTGACACATCATGTTCAAAAGGATTCTCTTTCAGCTTCAGGGTTAATAAGCCTCCCAGCAGGCCCAAGGCTGAGCTATCAGCTTTCTATGGCAAACTTAGGTGGTGGTATGTCCTATAAGGCCATCAGAGGCTACTGAAGAGATTTCTGGATATTTGAGAAGATAAGACCTGCAGGAACTTTGGTTATCCATTAGCTCAAAGCCTAGGTGATGTGATAGTATTTGGGTAAACACAGGTCAAGGCCCAAATGTAGCTCCTGGAGGTAGCTGGGTAGCTAATTGGTGCATTATATAGTTAGTGCAGGAGACCCAGGTAAATCAGTGCACTGCTCTGGGGCTCAGCTTCTTACCTGGATGGAAAAAAAAAGACTTAAATTGGAGGAATTCCTAGTCTGTTTCCAGCTCCAAATACATGTACTGTCAGTAAAAGTATTTCAAGTGACTTCAGGTAAAAATCTGTTCTATATTCTCTCCATTTTCCTGGCTTTCCAAGTTTATTAAATTTTACCCCAGCAGAAAGTGCATGAAGAATCTAAACAAAGTTCAGTTATGTGTGAGTTAGTATCACTCAGGCAAAAGAAAGCATCCTTGGAGGCATAGGATTGTGTGACATCAACACTGGGAGGGCTATTGCCGATTGGGCTTTAGCCTGTTTCTTGCCCCAGCATATGGGAATACATTTGTTGGTATTGTACAATTTGAAGGAGAAAGGTAAAATCCTAGGATGATTCTCTATTACCTGCTCACCTAGAAAGAAGAGTCACTGCTCTGCTGCATCCACATTGCACTACTGGAGCCTGTGGGTAGTGTGGTGGCCAAAGACCTTGAAGGTCCCCCCAAGCCTTAGAAGCTAGGTTCACTTTAAGCATCTAGCTGAGTAGAACTGAGGCAGAGACAGAAGACAAGAACCACTTTGTGGACTGTAGCTAAGCACTGTATGTGAACCTATGCAGATGCAAACTGTGGGTTCAGTGTGTCCCTGCTGCCTTCCAGCCTGTTATTCTGAGTGAATTATCCATTTCTAAACTGTCAGTTCTCATTCTGCTCTCTTCACTTAGGCAATCCCCTCCTCCCTCTTACTCAGCAGCAGCCGGGCAGTTCAGGGGAAGGGACAGGAATGTGGTGATGTTTTTGAAATCCCTGATAATTTTAGTCACTAACAGGTGTGATGATCAGTTTGAACAACACTAATCAGGCTCTCCACCTAGGGGTGTGTGTGTGTGTGTGTGTGTGTGTGTGTGTGTGTGTGTGTGTGTGTTGAATGGAGGAGATAGGGTTCTAGAGTTCTGGGAAGTCTTGGGTTTGGTTTGTTTTCCCTCTGGATAGGAGAGAGAATGGAGTAGGGGGGCTTGTCTTCCATGCTTTCCCTGAACCTGTCTTCCGTCCCACCCCAGCCCCAGGATGAACACCTGAGCAACTTCTGCCGCCTGCTAGGGGTGGAGCACAGTCAGATGGAGCACTGGCTATGCCATCGCAAGCTGGTCACCACCTCAGAGACCTATGTCAAGACCATGTCCCTGCAGCAGGTGGTCAACGCTCGCAACGCCCTGGCTAAGCACATCTACGCCCAGCTGTTCAACTGGATTGTGGAACACATCAACAAGGCCCTGCACACATCCCTCAAGCAGCACTCCTTCATCGGGGTCCTGGACATCTATGGGTAGGCCCACGCCCTCCTCCCACCTTTCAGTGCCCCTGCTGGTCAATATTGTCTTCACACAGGCATTTAAGAGGCAGCAAGGGCCTTGAGAGCTTTCTGGTGGTTCTCAACAGGGAGAGCTCACAATGTGTGGGGGCATTTTTGGTTGTCACTGATGGCTGAGGTTACTATTGGCCTGAGACCAGAGAGGTTATGTACCCCACAAAATAGAGGATAGACCTAAGGAAAAATAGGTACTAGTAACTTCCCCATTTGGAAACCCTGTAGACATCCATTTTTAGTATGGGCAACCGAGGTCCAGAAAGGTAAGTGACTTGCCTAGCATCATTTGGGAAGTTACTACCAGGTGTTGTGTCTCAGTTATGTTTTCAGTCAACCATCCAACCTTTCTGACTATATCATCAGTCAAGGTGATGATTTTAATACTGTAATTTTGCACTGTGCTGTACAGATCTGTGTTGTGTGATCCTCCTTGAGGTTTCTCTGCCCTTCAGAATCATAGACTGATTGAAAAGGCTGTGCTGTGGTTTGTATCTGGATGTCCCCTCAAAGCCTCATGCAGTCATGGTTGCAGGCTTCTAGAGTTTATGACTGATCCATGGTCCAAAGTTGGGATTATGGGTGTGAGAGCTACACCCGCCCTGGGGCGGATAGTTTGCATACAACGTAAGGAAAGGAAAGAGGCTACTTGCCACCGCTCTTCCTTTTTGCTCTTCTTGCTTTGCTGTTTTCCACCACCATGAACTATTGACCTCTGCCATGTGCCACTCTGCCTTGGAGCCAGTCCAGTATGGACTGAAACCTCCACAAACTGTAAGTTGAATAAACCTTTCCTTCCTTAATTCTGGGTGTCAGGTATTTTGTCTCAGCAATGAGAGAAAAATAACTAAGACAGACTGTAATATATAACAGTGTGTGTTTGGCAGGCCAAGGCAGTGTGGCATGGTAGAAAGTGTACTTAACGAGCCACCAGAGAACTGGCGTTTGTATCAGTGTTGTCACCAGTAGCTGAATGACTAAACATCACGGTCCCTTTCTGGTCTTCACTTTCTATAGCTTCAAATGAAGTTTTGAGCCACAGTCTCTCTGCATTTCTTTCCAGATACATCTAGAATTACTTGAAGTCATATGAATGGGGTGGCACCCTCCCCTTGCCCTTCTTTTCTTAGCCATGTCCTGCCCTCTTTAAGCTAAGAATAGATTAAATCTTCCTGAGTCTTTAAATCCTAGAAGTCATGGCTCTGTCTTAAAATAGAAACTATACCCATAGAACTTCAGCATCAGAAGAACAGTAGCCCATGGTATGGAAAAGGAAGAATGAAACACGATTTCTGGCTTTGCAAAGACTCAGGAGCATGCTGAATTAAATAATGAAAGAGGCATCAGAAGAAACTGCCAGAGCTGGTCCATCTGAGGGTTTGGACATTTGTGCTATGTGAGCTTGAAGGCCAGGGAAGGCATACTTGTTTGCACCGTCAGGGAAAGTACAGGGGGTGAGGGTTGAGCTGGGTTCTTAAAAAGAGGAAGGTAGAGGATGGGAAGGAGGGAAGATGAAAAGGTTTGAAAGGAAACCTCACGGCTGATGAGCAGCCAACAGTGGAGAATCGCCCAGGAGAGGGAATGGGAGGATATGTTCTCCTAGGGGTGCTCTCATTCTTGGATTCAGCTAAGTGACTGGACAGCCTTTCTCCTTCCGGTCAGTAGAGCACTCACTTTATGCTCAGCCCTTGCAGTTGCTCTTGTGAGAGCACAGGACAATCTGTGTTCTCCGGAAACTCAGTGTCTGGTTGTCAGTAATGGATTCTGTGTTATGCTTCCCTTTACCTCGAGTATTTTCAGGTCTTTAGATCTCCCAAAATACTGACCTTCAGTGCTGCTTTCAGAGAGAAAACCCGGAGAAACCCAGGCTGCAGCATCTGACCGGATTCCGTAATCTGCCTGTACAGGAAGATTAGTATGCAGACTTGTGAATAGTATGTGAAAATATTAGGACTTCCCTGCTGCTGTTATGTAAAACATCATGCCTCTGTTCTATTGATTTACATATTTTCTTAACAGTGCCTTCAAAAGGACTGTTAAGAAAAGGACTGTTGCTGCCTTCCCAAAGATCCCGAGTGACAGTCTGCTCCTTGATAGGCAGACTCTGCGAGTTGGGCTTATGGCCTGCTGAGTCTGCAGCTGTCTCTTGGGCTCATGCAAACTAAGATTTTTTTGCTTTAATTTGCCATTTAATTTTCCTAATTGAATTTATTTTTCCAAGGTCTTGTGGTTTCCCACAGGAGAGATATCGTGACGGAGATTACAGGGAAATCTGGTCTGTGATTTGAAAGGTATAGTTGTCACTAGATTGGGTGACAATCCAGTCTCCTGGTTTGAGTGCCAGCTCCTGACCTGTGTGTCTCCTTTGTCTCAGAGCAGCCTATGGTTTCCTTTGAGAGCATCTGGCAGCAGCTTCCAGGGAGTACAGGTTGTGACACAGGTCACATGGCATGTGGCCACTGACCAGCCCACTGGGACCTTCTTACTTTAGTGTTACTTCCTTCAAGGCACACTATTTTTTTACATCCTTGTTCTCTCTCAGAAGCTAGTTTGCTGTTTTTTAAGCTATGTCATAAAGTGATTTACTCTCCAGTAATGCCCAAGTATGTTCTGTCCCAGTGCAATATCAAGTTTATACGTTACAGGGAGAGGAAAAGAGAACAAGTTAGGTATGAGCTGGGGTCAGAGCGAACAAGCTGGCAGCCTTTGGGCTCCTGGCACTGAGAATGCCCTTGCAGATATTGCTTAAATACAACATGCATGTTCGCTGCAGTCCAGTCTACCAGGAAGGTCCCACACACACGCCTACTCCAGGCTCTCTTCTGGTCAGAGGCTGCATCATGAACCCTCAGGAGATTAAAACCAAGTGGTTGACCACTGAAAAGCAGGTGGCTTGAGTCTAGATGAACTATTTCTGGTCTCTCAGGTTAGTGACATCACTTCTTAATCTGGGAGAAAAATGAAAAGTCTTTGGTGAAAACTTGAACTAAAATATGTGAACTATTTCCTGTCATCTCCCTTTTTCAGTTATGGTATCTCCTCTGTCTTACTCTATGGACTCAGGCACCATCCAGAAACCCACTGAATTTCTCCTGTGTTTTTTAAAGCAGCCATCTCCAGTTACCAGAAGTGAGCAACACACTGGAGAGGGAGAATCCCACCCATCCATTTTCTCTCATTCTTTCTCATTTGTCAATGGGGTTGCTTTGGTGCCCAGAGAAGATGTCCTTGGGCTGACCTGCTACCTTTGATTTTCTTATTCCTTGTCACTTGTAGTCAGAACAGTGGGAATCTGGAGAAAAGAGGAAGAATGGTGGGATGTTTGTGAGTACAGCAGACCCCATTTGTTAAGAGGGAACGGATAAGCAGGTGCTTACCTCTCATTAGGTTAGAAATGCACAAAGGCAGGAAGTGAGGCTAGAATTGTTCTTGTGACCCCCCCATGAGTGAGCACTAATTTGTTCCACTGATCTAACCATCCCCAGATGAATTGCAGCACCTACCCAGAGTATTATTGGCCCAGCAGTCAGGCTCATTCTAAAGGCAGAAATGAAAAGGATTCTGTGCTATAGCTGAGCTGCCCTACATTTGCCATAAATACTTACAATCTCATTAGAGTCGATATCCAGAATGAATAAACACACACATCAATGAATAAGCAAGCAGCACACCAAGCTAGCATCATCCCATACGTCCCTTCTCGTCATGATGTTCCGACTGGTGGGTAGCTTGTAGAGTAGAAAAGGTTGTGGACTCCCTCTTCCAGGACTGTGGTGAGTCCCTTTCCTGCAACCTGTCTTGCATGGTTCCAGACATCCAGTGTCCTAGTATGCTTACACTCTTCACCTTGCTACCCAGCCCCAGCTTCAAAAAAGTGCAAAGCAACCTATACCCTGAGCAATTTAGCCAACACAAGCCAAGCTGTTCTCCTTAACTAAGGATTTGTGGAGCTGCCTACAGAATATTTCTTAGCAGGCAGAGGGTGAAATTAATAGAGGAGAACCTGGCAGCTTTTGCCTGGGATTTCCTTTCCATGTTGCATAAACCAGCATTTGGCTCTGTGGCTTGATTAGTTGTAACCTTAGTCCTTCATTCCTCTTTCCTTCTTGAGGCAACAAGAAATAAAGGGGTTCAGTGTAGAAAAAAAATACATGTTTGTTTGCATTTGACTTCTGTCTTCAAAATGCCAAGACAGCAAGGGCTTTGCCTATGGCCATGATGTTCTTGCTGAGGACAGTTGCCTTAAAGACTTTCAGAGCAATGCAAGGTAAAGTAGATGCATGTATTTACTAAGAAACATTGAGGGAGAAAGCAGGGACACAAAGTAGGGAATTTGGGACTGCAGGAACAGGAAATGGGATTTGCTGGAATTTTATATCTTTCTTAGGCTTCTGTGTCACTTTCTTGCAAAATTAGCATCCAGTTCTTTTTGGTGCTCTATAATGATATATTTTTTTAAATACTTCTAAAGTTTGTAATTGAGAAAACCATAGCATTAGCCACTTTAATTGTACAGTTCAGAACTGTTGAATACTATACTTACATTCCCATTGATGTGAAAGTTTTCCAGAGCTATCTCATTTTGCAGTACTAAAACTCTATGCCCACTAAGCCCAATATTCATTCTCTTAGTCCCTTGGCAACCATCATTCTTAGATATCCCATGTAAGTGGAATTATCTAGTAGTTTTTTTGTAACTGTGTAATTTCATTTTGTATAATGTTCTTCAGGTTCATCCATGTGATCATATTTCCTTCTTTTTAAGGGTTTAGTAATTAATATTTCATTGTTTATGTTTATAAGATTTATCCACAGATAGATACAATAAAAATGGGTACATGAAAATCTCTTCCAGGTCCCTCTGTCACCTCAGCCCTGTACTCATACTGCACCCAGGATCTTTGCACTGAGCTACATACCAAGCCCTTTTACATTTTTTGGCACAGAGTCTCTTTAAGTTG